ATCACAGGTGGTTTGTGCGGTAAATGTGCTTGAACTCAAGTGGAGTGAATTCTTTACACCACTCATTCTGGGCTATCATGGAAAAGTTTCACAAGTCTTAATCAGATCTATGAGGAAAACAGAACACATAACTGTTATGTTGTTCCTGCTTTTTACTTACTGTGATTGGGATAAAAAAGGTTTTACAAAAAGTTGGATTTATAACCATGAATCAGAAGCATAGAAGTGGCTGCAGTACCCTGAGGAAATGCCTTCACTCTAAAACCCCTTAACTCTCCTCTCCTTCCTCGTCCCCACAAACCTGCACCGGATGAAAGTGTGGCGATACTCAGCTCTAGACTCTGAAAATAATTTTCCCCAGTCAAGAACGCCTACAATTTCGATAGGTTTTATTGTATGTATATAATCCAAATCCTACCTCTCCTGAATAATCTGTATAAGCTTTGATACAGCTCTATAAGCCTTATCAATAAGAAAAGTTTTAACCCTAACCTTAAAAGTAGGTGTCTGCCTCACGGACTAAAACTGCTAGTTGGTTCCACAGGAGAGGAGTTTGATAACTAAAAGATCTGCCTCCCATTCTACTTTTAGAAATTCTAGGAACCACTAGTAAACCTGCTGATTGAGAGCGAAGTGCTCTGTTAGGAACATAAGGAACAATCAGATCTCTGATATCAGATGGAGCTTGGCAATTTAAGGCTTTATATGTGAGAAGGAGGATTTTAAATCCTATTCTGGATTTAACAGGAAGCCAATTAAGAGAAGCCAGGATATTTCTAATTTTTGCAATATTCCGAAGACGAAAGAAGAAAATTCTAGAAACCTCTTTGATATGGGATTTAAATGACAGGTCCTGATCAAAAATAACACCAAGATACTTACTTTTTACTTTATTATCTGAAATCAGTTTAATCCCATCCAAATGAAGTGACTGACTAATCAGCTTCTTTTTCAGAGACTCTGGTCCAAAGACTATAACTTCTGTTTTGTCTGCATTCAGAAGCAAAAAGTTAAGAGCCATCCAGGTTTTTATGTCTTCAAGACATGCCTGTAATCTATGTAATGGGTTAGCTTCATCTGGATTTATAGACAGATATAGTTGGGTATCATCAGCATAACAGTGAAAATTAATCCCATGCTGTCTAATAACTCTACCAATTGGGAGTATGTATAAAGTGACGAGAATTGGTCCTAGCACCGATCCCTGTGGTACTCCGCAGGTAACCTTTGAGCATGTTGAAGATCTATCATCAACATAAACAAAATGAATTCGATCAGATAGATAAGATTTAAACCAGTCTAGTGCTGTTCCTTTAATTCCAACAAAATATTCAAGTCTTTCTAAAAGAAAATTATGGTCAACTGGATCAAATGCAGCACTGAGATCCAACAGGACGAGCACAGATACAAGTCCATTATCTAAGGCCATGAAAATATCATTACCAACCTTCACCAGAGCTGTTTCAGTGCTATGATGAGCTCTAAAGCCAGACTGAAACTCTTCAAAAAGTTCATTATGGTATAAGTGATTGCAGACTTGTTTGGCAACTACTTTCTCAAGAATTTTAGATAAGGAAGGAAGATTGGATATAGGTCTATAATTGACCAAGTCATCTGGGTCAAGAGACGTTTTCTTAAGCAGAGGTTTAATTACAGCAACCTTAAAAGCTTTAGGTACATATCCCTGTAACAGAGATAGATTAATCACATCTAAAATGGAGGAGGAGATAAAAGGGAATACCTCCTTAAATAACCTGGTTGGAACTGGATCTAACATACAAGTTGAAGGCTTAGATGAAGACAATAATTTTGCTAATTCACTAGGTAGATTATTTTAAAAATCAATGAATCGGCCGATTATTTTTTTCGATTAATCGATGAATCGGACAAAAAATATTTTTTATATTAACCCCTTAATTCCAAAATAAACATTTTAGACAGAACAAACAAGCACACAAGTACAGGTTGCTCATTAACTGTACTGGTGCAATATGAAAAATAAATGTTTGTGTTAAAACTACGCAAACTTACATGAGAAATGTAACTGTACATCCACAAAATATAGGGTAGTTTGTTTCATAAAGCGCATTACCAACCTTCACCGGAGCTGTTTCAGTGCTATGATGAGCTCTAAAACGAGACTGAAACTCTTCAAAAAGTTCATTACGGTGTAAGTGATCGCACACTTGTTTGGCAACTACTTTCTCAAGAATTTTAGATAAGAAAGGAAGATTGGAAATAGGTCTATAATTGACCAAGTCACCTGGGTCAAGAGACATTTTCTTAAGCAAAGTTTTAATACAGCTACCTTAACCTCTTACACCCTCAGGGGGTGTAAATAAATTTCTGCCTGACAAAAACACACAAAAGTAAATCCCTTATAGCCTCACAGCTATTAGATTTAAGAAGAAACTTTTGGTACCTCTGTAAAGGTAAGATGTCATAGAATAGTTTTCTGGTGTCAGCACTGTTGTGCCATATGCCATGATCATACTTTTTGGACATTGGGAAGCAGTGTCCATATTTCATCCTGATAGGATGACCAGAGAAGAAAACGCAGCTTTGGTGAATAACAGCTGGGGGACTTCAGCAGCCCCCCTTTTTCAGCCAGCAAGTCACATGGAAGTCACAGAGGTGTGAAAACCTACCCCCCTCTGTGAGGGCAGAACAAAACCACAGAGCACACAGGATTCTTCTTCTCTTCTCTCTTCACTTTTTCTCCCTCGTCTGATCCAGCCTGCTTCTGCTCCTGCTCTGAAAGCTGGGGCCCACTGTGGCCCACAGTGGAGATGCAGGCCCCAGGGAAACCAGATCCCCAGAACCATCAAGGATGAGTCAGAACTCTTCAGAACCTAACTGCTGCAAACAGAACCTTTGCAACACATTTCTCTTGAGTTTCAGAACTTACAGAGCCAAACTGGATGAAGAGCATGCCCTGGTTTGAGACTGAGGGGACCCCTGCTGTGAGACTGAGACAAAGAATCCCTGACTGCAGAGCTGCAAAACTGGATGAAACTCAAGCTTTCCAAATGGACATGGAAAAAGGTTTGCAGGTCTGGCATGATTAGGGACAGAACAAGCAATGTGTCTTTTGATGATGCTAATCATATCGTGTGTTTACTGCTCAGTAAAGACAACGCTAATTGATGCTAAAGAATGGACTGCATGCTACGCTATGCTACAGGAATATGTGTTGAGCTGTTGCTAAAGCTTAGACAAGCTTTATTCACTAAGGAGTTAACACTGATAGAACATTAGTGTTCACGTGTTCCTCAAATGCTCATTACATTTCCATTGCCAAGTATGACCAAGAGTCATTTAGTGGAATCCCGATGTCTATTCGCTGCTAGCTATTTCAAAGAGGGTAAAGAATCATTTAACTTAAGGTTTTTGGTTCTTGATTAAGCAAATCATTTAATAAAACATTATTTGGCCAAATAATGTTTTATTCACCTCATGGATTTGCATTGTCAATTGGTCTGAAAACTTTCCAATTTCTTTAAAATTAGTGAAAAGCTAATTTGATCATATCCCAAATTATTCCAGATAAACTTTGGTTTCAAACACAGAATCCATCTTAAACTGTAATATGTTTTTCAACCGTTTTCCCTTTCCTCTTTGTACATAGTAGTTAGTTTAGTTTAGTTGAGTTTTACTAGTCTTAGTTGAGAGTGTTAAACTGAAATACGTTTGACTTGGAGCTGAATTAATTTTGTTAATAAAATCTTATATTTTGAACAGAAGTTGTGGTGAATTTATTCCATGTATGTGCAGAAATAACTGTTTGACCATGATTAGTGCTCGAATCACTCTTTCATTTATTGTTCTAATACACAGTTAGTAGGACTGTGTGTCATAAACAGTATATAACAGCTGAAATAATATCTAATTAAATAAGATATTTTACCACCCCTACAGGGGAGGGCAATAAACATCTTAAAGTATCAGAAACATAAATTCCCAGCGGGCTGGGAATAGAATATAACTATAGAATCACAACATAAATATGGCGTCCCTGGGTGGGCCCATTAATTGTAACATTTATTTAGCATCCCATGCGACTGGGCTCATTGAATGTAACATTTAATTGGTGTCTCAGTTTGGTGGTCATCGAATATAACAGTCATTCTGCACATATATGAGAATAAACTTAGAGCCATTAATGAAAACCGTGTGAAAGCATTAACATCAGCTCTCACCACTCAATAATGAAATCTTAAACTCACAACTTAAGAATCCAATACTAAATGTCTTAGCTTATATGAGAAGAAAATATAACCTTTGACATTCTTGGAGAATCAAAATATAGAAAATGTAACTAAATCTAATAACTCCAAAATATCTCTTCAGCTAGTGATAACCAACCTTACTTCAAAGCAAAACTCAGATGATTCAAATCAATCTGATCACTTTGGTCCAACTAAAACTAAAAGATTTAACACCCAAGTTAATCTTATCGTTCGACCAAAATTTATGCACATCTATAACTAGATGCTGCCATTTGTGGTTTCTATAACTACATCCCAAAAATGAAAACTCCCAAGTTATGCTATTTCAAAGTCACCTCCAGTCCAAAATAGGTTAGATGCCTCGGAATTTAACCTAAATCCCTTAGTCTATTAGTCTGATAAGACTCCTAAACACCTATTTTATATTGTGTAGAACAAGATTTGTTGCCAGATTTAACGTAAGTTAATCTGTGATCCTACCCAACCGAAAGGGGGTGGATTCAAATTAAATTGCTTAAAATCCCTTAAAGAAAGGTGAATCATAAGCTAATTTGCTAGTAAATCCTTAAAAAGGTAAGCTTTGCGCCAAACTGCTTATAAATCCTCCAAGACAGGTAAAGCATGCGCTAAAATAGCTAATAAATCCTAAAACAAGGTATAGCATTTTTAACACTGAAAGAAAAGTGTTTCTTTGATATCACAGAAAAGGGTGAAGCATAAGCAAAATTGCTTGTAAGTCCTTAAAAGGTAAGCTGTGCGCCAAACTGCTTATAAATCCTCAAAGACAGGTGAAGCATGCGCTAAAATAGCTGGTAAATCCTAAACAAGGTGTAGCATTTCTAACACTGAAAGAAAAGTGTTTCTTTGATATCACAGGTTTAAAGATAACCCGTGACTCATTTCTACACACATAAAAATAAGTCCTTACAATATGTATATGTAAATATACAAGTATAGTGGGTACTGACTGGATTGTGTTCTTTTGAAATTTCTTCATAACTTGTGTTTTTGTGCCATCAGCTGAAAATGGATCCAAGCATCCTCAATTCTGGGCGTACCATTGAATCCATAGGCATAGAGAAACAGAAACAAATTGTTGCAAAGCTTATCCACTTATCTCCAGAAAAGCAGGATAACCTAAACAATTTTAACCTCAGCCTATGTGAAGAAAAGATTCAAGAATTAATTAACTTAATTCAAAACCCAAATGGAAACTTTCTGATAACAGATGTACTCTGTGAGCTCACGCTTCTTTATCAGCTTAAATCCCAAATAAAAGCTAAACAGTACTCTGAGTTAGAAGCCAAATATCAGATGATCTGCCACAGAGTAAGTGCTGCAAACATTTTATTGTCAGGAGCTGACAAGATCAAAGACCCATGTGGCCAGACTGACCATGCCTCAGAACAAACAGTGACCCCCCTCCTAGTGGAGCTATGCAATAAACAAAGCAAGCAGACTTTGAATCAGCAGGAGGTCACCCCAGTCAAAAGGAGAACAGTTCCTGAAGCAGATACAAAGTCTCTAAACTCTGAGTTAACACTAAATAGATCTGAAGGTGTTCAAAGTCAAAGTAGTGTCGCAGACAGAGAGAAACAAGTAGATCACTTGGTAAACTCAAGCAGTTTAAAATTTTGCAAAGGACAGCCATGCAAACCAATCTCTGTCTCACACTCTGCTGACCGAGCATCAAGTGCCAAAGTTCACAGCTTGAAAAACTCTGAGGAGAACCAGTCTCCCTTGTGTCATCAAAGGTTTGCTCAAAACCCCCCACCACTTAATGAGCAGAACCAGCTTCCTGACGGGCCAGGTCCACCGAGTGACCATAGAATTCAACAAATTGAATTCTTGGCCAAAGACATTGATATTTTTGACCCAGAAAATCAACACTCCAACATAGCTGATTATCTGCAAGAAGTTGAGCACTGTCTAAAAGACTTGCCATTTCCTTCTTCTCGTGAGAAATTGAAGCTGATTTGGAAAACAACAGCAAGAAGCGTCCATGTTTTCATAAAATCTCTTCCTCCAAAAATCAGAGAGAGTTATTCAGCTCTTTGTCAAACCTTAAGAGAAGAATATTCTGGTTACAGAGATCCGGCGTTAGCAACGCTTGAGGCATCTTTAGTTCTCCAAGGAGAACATGAAACACCCAGAGAATATTACTTTCGCTTGAGACAGGTTTATTTTGAGGGCTGCAGTTCTCCAGATATTGACGAAGAAGATCACACATTTAAAGCATTGTTCATCCAAAATCTACATAAAAGTGTACGATATGATGTAGCAATGCATTGCAGGATAGAAAACCTTTCTATGCAGGAAACTCGCAGATATGCTCAGCTTGTTTGGGAAATAAGTCTCAAATCAGATAGATTCCAAAGCAAGCTTAGAGTCTTTAACCTTCAAACAAAGAACAGGACCAGAAACAGACACAGATTCAGTTCCCCAGTGGTTCACCAAGATGAAGGTCATAAGCCTTCACATCACAATGCAAAACCAAAGGTTTACACTGGTAAAGGGGGACATCAACAAGTTACAGAAACAACCACAAAAGAAAACTTAGAACAGATCTGCAAAACAGTTCTTACAGAGCTACTGGCTTCTCTGACCAATCACAAGGTACCACAATTCCAAGCTAATGGTAAAACTTATCATATCCAAGAGTATGATAGTTGCTGATAATTTCTAACATATTTTAACCTGTTTTATCCTTTCTTTCTTTTGTTTCACAACTTGAGAAATGATGAAGGTTGAACAACAGCATCATGAAGGTGTTAGGAAATTTTGTTTGGAATGTATATATTTGTGTATCAGGGTCAGACTTTCCTGCCAGACCTGCTTCAACCAGACGCAAAACCTCTGGAGAAAATGAACTGTTTTATGATAAGATAGGGTCAGCTTCTGCCAGACCTACAAGAAATCATCCAGGGACAAACACTGGAGAAGATATGAACCCTAAATGAACTTTCTTCCTGCCAACAGGAACCTGACTCATCACCCCTCCAGATCTCATGGCTTTATGGACCTATTTGTGATCTGAAAACAAAGAACTGCATCTTTTATTTCCAGATCAAAAGGGGGATATGTTGTGCCATATGCCATGATCATACTTTTTGGACATTGGGAAGCAGTGTCCATATTTCATCCTGATAGGATGACCAGAGAAGAAAACGCAGCTTTGGTGAATAACAGCTGGGGGACTTCAGCAGCCCCCCTTTTTCAGCCAGCAAGTCACATGGAAGTCACAGAGGTGTGAAAACCTACCCCCCTCTGTGAGGGCAGAACAAAACCACAGAGCACACAGGATTCTTCTTCTCTTCTCTCTTCACTTTTTCTCCCTCGTCTGATCCAGCCTGCTTCTGCTCCTGCTCTCAAAGCTGGGGCCCACTGTGGCCCACAGTGGAGATGCAGGCCCCAGGGAAACCAGATCCCCAGAACCATCAAGGATGAGTCAGAACTCTTCAGAACCTAACTGCTGCAAACAGAACCTTTGCAACACATTTCTCTTGAGTTTCAGAACTTACAGAGCCAAACTGGATGAAGAGCATGCCCTGGTTTGAGACTGAGGGGACCCATGCTGTGAGACTGAGACAAAGAATCCCTGACTGCAGAGCTGCAAAACTGGATGAAACTCAAGCTTTCCAAATGGACATGGAAAAAGGTTTGCAGGTCTGGCATGATTAGGGACAGAACAAGCAATGTGTCTTTTGATGATGCTAATCATATCGTGTGTTTACTGCTCAGTAAAGACAACGCTAATTGATGCTAAAGAATGGACTGCATGCTACGCTATGCTACAGGAATATGTGTTGAGCTGTTGCTAAAGCTTAGACAAGCTTTATTCACTAAGGAGTTAACACTGATAGAACATTAGTGTTCACGTGTTCCTCAAATGCTCATTACATTTCCATTGCCAAGTATGACCAAGAGTCATTTAGTGGAATCCCGATGTCTATTCGCTGCTAGCTATTTCAAAGAGGGTAAAGAATCATTTAACTTAAGGTTTTTGGTTCTTGATTAAGCAAATCATTTAATAAAACATTATTTGGCCAAATAATGTTTTATTCACCTCATGGATTTGCATTGTCAATTGGTCTGAAAACTTTCCAATTTCTTTAAAATTAGTGAAAAGCTAATTTGATCATATCCCAAATTATTCCAGATAAACTTTGGTTTCAAACACAGAATCCATCTTAAACTGTAATATGTTTTTCAACCGTTTTCCCTTTCCTCTTTGTACATAGTAGTTAGTTTAGTTTAGTTGAGTTTTACTAGTCTTAGTTGAGAGTGTTAAACTGAAATACGTTTGACTTGGAGCTGAATTAATTTTGTTAATAAAATCTTATATTTTGAACAGAAGTTGTGGTGAATTTATTCCATGTATGTGCAGAAATAACTGTTTGACCATGATTAGTGCTCGAATCACTCTTTCATTTATTGTTCTAATACACAGTTAGTAGGACTGTGTGTCATAAACAGTATATAACAGCTGAAATAATATCTAATTAAATAAGATATTTTACCACCCCTACAGGGGAGGGCAATAAACATCTTAAAGTATCAGAAACATAAATTCCCAGCGGGCTGGGAATAGAATATAACTATAGAATCACAACAGCACCATTGTAGCTTTGACCCTGCCTGAAATATTAGGGACAAAATACAAAATATTTTGCATTTTTTGAACCTCGCCAAAATTTTCTTTGAAATAAACATTGCAAAACACTACCAAAATATTATTTATAGCACAAAAAAGTAGTACAGACTTTTAAATCTAAATGTTGTGTAAAAATATACCAAATTTGGACTCAATCAGATGAATCATATTTATTTTAGAATGGTATTAGTGAGAAATTTCTTAGGCGGAGAGGACATTTTGGCACATTTATCCAAAAATGTCACCAAACTGTGCCAAATGTGTTTTTTACATCAATACTGGGGGTTTGTTCAAATTACGAGGTCACGTAGCAGCTGGACCCACCGGTGGGTCCGTAGGGTTCTAGGGGTTAAAAGCCTTTGGTACATATCCCTTTATCACAGATAGATTAATCACATCTAAAATGGAGGAGGAGATCAAAAGGAATACCTCCTTAAATAACCTGGTTGGAACTGGATCTAACATACAAGTTGAAGGCTTAGATGAGGACAATAGTGTTCCTAACTCTGAAAGTTCAACTGGATCAAAGCAGTCTAAAACTGGTTCAGATTCCATGACTACCTCAGATGCTGCCCCACCCTCCAGAGACAATCCAATCGTGGATAGAGGAGGAGATCAAAGGGAATACCTCCTTAAATAACCTGGTTGGAACTGGATCTAACATACAAGTTGAAGGCTTAGATGAAGACAGTAGTGTTGATAACTATGAAAGTTCAACTGGATCAAAGCAGTCTAAACATGGTTCAGATTCCATGACTACCTCAGATGCTGCCCTAACCTCCAGAGACAAACCAATTGTGGATAGAGGAGTGATAATGATCTTATTTTTAATAAGATTAATCTTATTTATAAAGCATCCAATAAAAGCATTACTGCTAAGAGCAGGTGGAATGGACGGTTCCACTAAGCTATGGTTCTGGGTGAGTTTGGCAACTGTATTAAAAATAAATCTAGAATTATTCTTATTCTCCTCTATTAATGAGGAGAAATATGCTGCTCTTGCTACAGACTAGGATTCCCGTAGGCCTGTGGAGCAATATATTTCCTCTCCAGTTTCCTAGCATTTTGCTTCAAAGTACGCAGCTCTGCATTAAACCAAGAAGTCAGCTTTCTATTTTTAACTGTTTTCATTTTCAAAGGAGCTGCATTGTCTAAGGCAGTATGCAGAGAACTAGCAACCCCACCAACAAAACCATCAACCTTTGAAGGGGAATAAACTAAGCTTTTGCACTCTGCAGCACTGCTCAGTGACACACAGAGAGAAAGTGAAACTATAACTGCACTATCTGATAATGATCTGCTAAAATTGAACTTTGTTCTGGTGAAGGAGAACTCTGTTAAAGTAATCCTGAAAGTTATTAAAAAGTGGTCAGAGGACAGGGTTGTGGGGAAATACTATTATTTATTCACATTCTATGCCATATGTCAGCACATGATCCAAAGTATGAAGATGAGAATGTGTGGGACTATTCACATTTTGAACAAAGCCAATAGTGTCTAAGATAGGATTAAAGGCTGCTCTTAAGCTATCGCCTTCAATGTCAGCTGTAACGTACAGGATATTGGACCCAGGAAACAGCTCAGACAGGTCAGTGGAATGCAACAGATTTTATTAATAATGGGAGGCGCAGGGGGCGTGCAGGCGGCTCTCAGTCAGGAAATCCCCTGCGGCGGAGACAACAGGTTAGTGATCAGCAATAAGAGAACTAGAGAGGGACTGAGGCTGAATCACTAACCTGTTACTGGGTCTTAGAGTGGGCGGCTGGCACCGTTTTTGGGTTCGGGGCAGGAGTCCGTATGATGAAGGGGCTTGTGGAAGCGGTGGCCGTTGAGCGGCGGATGGTTAGCTGAGGACTGAGGCCGATTAGCTCCAGAGACAGTTCGTTTATGGATTCAGAGATGGGATCCAAGCAAAGGTACAGAGGGGCAATCCAGAAGAGAGGTCCAGGTCTGTTCGAGTGTCCGTTTACTGGCAGGTTGAGAGAGGCAAAAGAGTTAGGCAGACTCGGTTACTCACTGACTGAGTGGGGTTCAGGCTCAGAGGCAGGCAATCCAAAGCGGAACTGATGCAAGGGTTCAGAGGCAGATCTGGTTTGGATTCTGGACAGGCAGTCAGGATCAGATAAGGGGTCAGACAGGCTCGGAAAAAAAAAAAGGCAAAAACAGGTCAGGAAACAGGTAGGCAGGCAAAATGTAGAAAAGCTGGAAGGTACTCAATAGTTGGTTTGAGACGATCTGGCACTGGGAACAGATCCAAATGAGCTATATATAGAGGTGGGACCAATTAGTGATAATTGCAGGCAGGGTGGAGTGAGCAGGTGTGAGGAGTTTGAGATTAAGCCGGCACCAGTGCCGAGATCGTCACAGTCAGCATGGATGTTAAAATCTCCCACTATGATGACCCTGTCAGTATTTAATACCAAATCAGAAATGTTAGGTTTTATTATTTATACATCATGTGCATTGTTCTTTTGTTAGTCAGATAAGACAGAGCAGAAGGCCTTCCTTCACATTGTGGATGTCACAGTGTGTACGGAGGTCATCTAATCAGGACAGCCTTTGTGTCTTTAAGAATACACAGGATATGGGCACATCTTGGAGCCGGTCTGATAGGAGAGCTATCTGTATCTGTAACCCTGAAGCATAGAAGCAAGCTGCATGGAGTTCAAGACATGGATGGCGTGTCAGTTTCTGATACGGACAGCTAAGCATCCACATGATGCAACACAGACTCAGAAGGTATAAGAAGCAGGAGATGACGTTGTTCGGGGCTCAAACCTTGCCGGACGCTCCCGGACGTGATTTTTGAGACCACAGCTGTGCAAGCTCTAAGCATTTGTCTCTGTCCTGTAACGACCTGATCCTGAATAAAATCTGTTACTTTTTAACTCCTGTTTTTATAGTCCTTTTTTATATGGTTTTACCCAGTTTGAGTTAAGAGTAGTAAATAACTTGCTCCCAGGAAAAGAACCGGTGAGGAGGCCCCCGGGGCGCTACAGCCTTTACTTCCAAGGGGACAAATCCTCCTCATTTTAACAAATTGGTGTTTCCGCCCGTGACCTGGAAGCAAAACAACAGAGCCACCGATGGAAAAAGCTCCACAGCCTGCGGCCAAAACAACTGAAAAGGTGAGGAGATTCCTTATTACAAAATATCTCCAGTGTTTTTAATGTTAAAACACTTTGGCTGTGTTGTGATCTTCTGAAGTGAGCTGAAGCTTTTTATGCAAAAGAGGACAGAGAAATTGCTCAGAGTGATTTAGTTTTTGTTTTTGCGGTTTTTGTTTAGTTGTTTTTGTTGTTTTTTTTATATTGCGAACGTGTACACATAAAAAAAACAAACAAACAAAAATAAACAAAAAAAAAGGAGAGAGAGAGAGAGAGAAAGTCGTGCGTTATGCTGTGGGTAGCGGTTGAAAGTCAGACTGAAGGCGCCTGCGCAACCACCTTCAAGAATTATACTGCTCACTAGGAAAAAGTTGGTTTCTGCAT